AGGGGACCCTTAGCCTCGGAGGAAACCACACATAACGCATTGGAGGGAATGTTTAGGTCCCCTCCAACACAGTTTTTGTGTGCTGTTCTCCTACCACCCCCTTCCTTTTGTGTTTTTTGTGCTTTATTAAGTGTTTAAAGGTTACAAGATGTACATTGGTTAATGCAAAAAGTGCCTAAAGGTTATGGATCTCTTGAAGCTCTTCCGCCTCCAGACAGGTATTTCCCCTCTGGATCGCCACACTGAGGCGCTGAAACAAAAAACTGGAAGCCCTTGGGTCTCTGGTGACGTTAATGAGCTTGGAGCCCAATTCCTTGAGAAATCCCAAGGCAATCTTACCCCAGGGGCCATACATCTCAGACGCTATGGGAACACAGGTGTATTGACCTTCCAGTCGCCTGTACTTGAGTGATTTTGCTGTTTCCCCTTTGCTTGGCCGCCCCACCTGCTTGATCAGCTCCAAAGAGTACATAGGTGTCAGCCAGGGTGGATACACATGTGTAGTCCCACACCAACAGTGTACCCGTTTTCCAAGGGTATATAGTGATACCATCAGGGCGAAGTGTAGGGTCATTCGGGTGTTGGTCCCCTAGGATGCGAGGTTCTCTCTCCGCTGAGCACCGAGCTGAGACGAGGCTTACTTGTCCTCAGTGTGAATTGGGGCACCAAGGCGGAGGTCCACCGCTACACGAAGGGATTCTGGATCTAGAAGCGTGCCCATTGCCGATATGGGTACTGCCAGGAGGAAGCCTCCTGCATGGTGGGCTTGCACTGCTCTGAGGCGGGCTTTCTCATTGTCTGATGTTGCGGCGCATAGCATGGCATCAGCTACTTTTTCCACTAGTGGGTGGTCCCAGCTGGACTGTTTATGTTTTTTTTTTGTTGGCCCTATAATGGTTGCTGGGGCTGCAAGAGCATTCCACTGATTTGAGCATTCAGTGAAAGCAGGATCTTGTATTCCTGCTGAATCCCTCAGGGTTTCAGGTAGGATATCTCTGACGAAGTCGTGCGATACATGGGAGGAGGAAAGGAAGGCTGGTAGAGCAATCTGGGAGGCTGTGCGGACACCAAGGCCGCCGAGTCTTACAGAGAGGGTTGCTTGCTCCCAGTGAAAGTCGTTCAATGGCAGGTTCAGGACTTTCACCAGCAAGGACCTCAGAAGGGTGCAATACAAATTTAATTTAGGGCTGCTGTAGGATGGAGAACATCTCAGAAAGTAGGTCAACTTAGGGAGAGACAGGCATCTTGTGAGGAGGAAGATAGCATCATGGGCATCAGTCTTGTCAATCCTGTCCAGCATTCTCTTTAGATCCGTGATTTTTGTATCCAGGACCTCCTCGATTGCTTATGGGCCAATGGGGGCACCCAGAAGGGTGCAGTCAGGTGATTCGACAACGAGAATGTCCGGAAGAACATTTTGTATTTGCCCAGTGATGTCTGGGTTGCGGGAGACTATTTCACATTTGGATGCATTGAAAATGAGGCCCAAGGTTGATCCTGGATTTTCCTTATATGCTCCAAAATGGTTTGCAGGGTTCCAGCGATAGTGTCATCATCCAGATACCAGATGTTTAGCTCGCTTGTCAGAACAATAGCCTAGTCTCACCTATATAACACAAATTTTATGTTCCCTGGTCATCAAAATATCTGTCAGAATCATTGAGCAAATTTGTAAAACAAGAAAAATTTGGATTCTGAGAGATATATACCTACTTTATCTTGAGGTTACCTTGAGGTGCTTCCGGGGTTTAGCGTCCCCACGGCCCGGTCGTCGACCAGGTCTCCTGGTTGCTGGACTGGTCAACCAGGCTGTTGGACACGGCTGCTCTCAGCCTGTCGTACGAATCACAGCCTAGTTGATCAGGTATCCTTTGGAGGTGCTTATCCAGTTCTCTCTTGAACAATGTGAGGAGTCGGTCAGTTATGCCCCTTATGTGTATTGGAAACGTGTTGAACAGTTTCGAGCCTCTGATAATGATAGAGTTCTCTTTCAGAGTATCTGTTGCACCTCTGCTTTTCAACGGCGGTATTCTGGATATCCTGCCATGCTTTCTGGTCTCATGTGATGTTATTTCTGTGTGCTGGTTTGGGACGAACCCCTCTACTATTTTCCACGTGTATATTATTATGTATCTCTCCCGCATGCGCTCAAGAGAATACAGATTTAGGCTCTTTTGTCGCTCTCAGTAGTTTAGATGTTTTACTGAGTGGATTCTAGCAGTAAAGGATCTCTACACGCTTTCCAGGTCAGCAATTTCTCCAGCTTTGAAAGGGGCTGTCATTGTGCAGCAGTACTCCACTCTAGAGAGCACTAGCGTCTTGAAGAGTATCATCATCGGTATAGCATCTCTAGTTTGAAAAATTCTTGTTATCCAACCTGTCATTTTTCTTGCTGTTGTGACGGCTACTTTATTGTGTTCTTTAGAGGTAAGGTCTTCCGACATGAGTACACCCAAATCCTTTACATTGCCTTTTCGTTCTATGTTATGATTTGACTGAGTTTTGTACGTGGTTTCCGTTTTTATATATATTTTTTTCCATAGCGCATGAGCTGGAACTTATCTTCGTTAAACACCATATTATTTTCTGTAGCCCATAGAAAAACCTGATATACATCTGACTGGAGGTTTGCCATGTCCCTCTATGTTGTATACTCTCAAAAAAATCCTAGTTTCATCTGCAAAGGATGATTCAGTGCTGTAGATTGTGTCCTTGTCTATGTCCGATATGAGGATGAGAAAAGTATTGGATCAAGCACAGTACCCTGGGGGACTGAGCTCTTCACGGTTGAAGGACCGGATTTTATTTTGTTGACTATTATACATTGGGTTCGATTCAACCCGTTCTCGAACTTTCGTATAGTCAATATTGACTTATTAAATAAGAGCATATGGGACATACTAAACATACTAGTTTACCTTGAAAAGCTTCATAGAAAACACCGACCTTACCTAACCTTCTTAGTATGTTAAGATAAGCATGTTATTGCTTCGTAATTACAATTATTACTTAACCTATTATTGGTATAGGTTAAGTAATAATTGTAATTACGAAGCAATAACATGCTTATCTTAACATACTAAGAAGGTTAGGTAAGATCGGTGTTTTCTATGAAGCTTTTCAAGGTAAACTAGTATGTGTAGTAAGTCACATATGCACATATTTAATAAGTCAATATTGACTGTAAGAAAGTGTGAGAACGGGTTGTTCTATTAGTCAGGAAATTGTAGATCCATCTGCCTATTTTTCCGGTAATTCTTTTTGCACGCGTTTTATGTGCAATAACATGATGGTCACATTTGTGGAAGGCTTTTGCAAAATCTGTGTAAATTACATCGGCGTTTTGTTTGTCTTTCATGGCATCTAATGCCATGTCATAGTGGTTCAGCAACTGTGACAGGCAAGAGCGCCCTGTCATGAAACCATGTTGTCAGGGGTTATGGAGAAGTTGTGATTCCATGTATTTTGTGATCTTACTTCTTAGCACTCTCTCAAACATTTTTATGATGTGCGATGTTAGTGCTCGGTGTGTAATTTTTTGCTTCTGCCTCATTTCCTCCTTTATGAAGAGGTGTTATCTCTACTGTTTTTAGTATGTCAGGGATAACGCCAGTATCTAGGCTTTGTCTCCAAAGAATGTGAAGGGCCTGCGACAGTGTTTCTTTTACAGCTCTTGATGAATATAGAGTTCCAAGAATTAGGGCCTGGTGCAGAGGGCATAGGCATACTGTTTATTGCTTCTTCAAAATCCAGTGGGGATAGGGTGTCCTCTGATATATGATTTGATGTTGGTATCATATCCATGAACAATTCATTTGGGTTATCAATCTTTAGTGTATTTAGTTGCTCGCTGAAGACAGAGTCGTACTGCTTCCTCAGTAGCTCGCTCATTTCTTTCTTGTCATAGGTGAAAGTTTCATCTCCCTTTCGCAGGGGCCCGATATTACACGTGGTTTGATCTTGATTTTGCATAGGAGAAAAAATATTTCGGATTTCTCTCTATTTCACTGATGGCCTTTTGGTCTCTTTGCCTCTCCTGGGTTTTGTATGATTCTTGTAGCTTGAGTTCAATTGTTTCTATTTCTCTACCTAACCGTCTTCGCCGTTCTTGAGATAGGGTGCGACTCTCAAGTTGTTCCGCGATTCGTTTTCTTCGCCTATAGAGGGAACGACGTTCCCGATCCAATCTGCATCCCTTCCTCTTTTTTCTTAGGGGTTTGCGGTTTGAACATATTTCTAGTGCTACTGATCTTATTTTTTCCAGGCACTGGTTCAGGTTTACATTTTCAAGCTGTTCTTCTCAGTTTATTTCTGTGAAGTCTTGGTTTATTTGCTCCCAATTTATCTCTTTATTATTGAAGTTGAATTTGCTGAAATCTCCTCCACTGGGAATCGGAACTGGTTTTGAAGATCTATTCCCCATGCTTGTCAGAACTTCAATTAAGTTGTGATCTGAGTAACAGGTATTTGTAATCATTATGTTCCTGATCAATTCATCATTATTGGTGAAAATGAGGTCTAGCGTGTTCTCCTTCTTATTTGATTTTACTATTTGCTGGTTTAAGGCAAACCTGTCGCACATCCGTAGCAGGTCATTTGCATGTGCCTGTTCATTTAGGCTACTTCCTGGTATTCTTTCTGATATTAGTGTATTAGACAGGTACTTCCATTTCTGGTGCCATAGGTTGAAGTCCCCAAGCAGGATGATGTTCAGGGCTGGATTTGTGAGGTTTTCCAAGCAGTGTTCTATTTCATTAGTTGATCTTTAAACTGCTGAGGGTTTGCCTCTTGTGACTTATATACAAGGAAAATAACTACCTTTAGAATATCTGTTTTATACCTATAATGATATCTACTACCTGCTTGATTCCATAATTACAATTTAAAAAAAAGTCATAAGGTGTTAACGTTCTATGGCACATATGTATTTAAAATGACGTTGACACATTACATGTAAATTTCTAACCAATATTTGGTGTAATAATAATCCAATTACTAACCTTAAGAATCTCAGGGAGTTTTCCTGGACGATCATCAAGGCGTTCATCATGGAGAAGATCTTGCTGAGGCCGGGAGTGTTTACCAGGGAGGCGTCGGTGAGGGCGAGGAGCCTCGTTGTGGGGACCACCAAGCGGCTCCTGAGGGACCACTGGGCGAAGGTGGCGAGGAAGGTGAGGTCGTCGCTCACCACCACCACCGTCACACACCACGACACCTGCCGCAGCTGTGGACGACAACATGGTAAACGTTGTGTGACAGTGACCAATGTTATGACCCCATGTAACCTGGGTGGAACGAGTTAAAATTAAGAGGTCAGAGAAACTATATATATAATAAACATCAGTGAGTAATTTGAGAATACGAGCAGAGGATGAGCATCTGATAAAAGGGACAGGGAATGAGATGTCATTATTTTGGTGACATGACGTAATGCTAACATGACATTGTGATGTTACTTGAGTTACAGCAGTCGTCAGCGATGTATGTACTTTGTTGATCTCCTGGATGGAGGAACAATATAGTGCCCAGTGTTAGCAGTGAAGTGAAGGCTACTTGTCAAGTGTGAGGAAGCTGTTGGGGAAAACATACACCATTTCTCTGCTATTTGAATATATTAGAGGTGGCCTGGAAGTGAGTGTTGGTTGTGCCTGTGTGAAACTCTAATTGTGTGCCCCTAAAAGAGGAAGGAAGTAAGCGGGCGTTTCTGTGTGGAGCCTGCCGGGCGACTCCGTGTTCTCAAGTCAGTACTGGAGGAGGCCTTGTGAAGCTGTCCTAAAGTGATTTTTGTGGGCGACCTGAGTAATCGCCATGTTGAGCGCCAGAGAGTGAGCGCCCCACGTCATAGATTTCTGCGGTTTGTGTGGGAAGAAGTTATTGGAGGTACTTCGAGGCTGGAGAGGAAGTGTATGCTGAACTCTGAGGTAGAGCAGATCTCCATAGTGAGGAGTTGAATTTTTAGCAGTGTAAGGGAGCTACACTTTTCTTTGTGGAGCCAGTGGAGGAGCGTCACAGATGGTGGTGTAGGACTTCGTTGTGCAGCAGATTGAGAGAAATGCAAAAATACCTTTCATGATTTTTGGAGGACCTAGATATATGCATTGGTAATGAGCCTCTAGGAGCAGAACAGAGGATCATGTGGACACAGTAATGTATGAGGGAAGTGCTTGAACGCTTATTGTCGAGTGAGATACAGTATTAGGCGACAGATTGATCTGTTTTTTTTTTTTTGTTAGGGGGTACTTATGTAGATGTTCCAGGTATTTCAGCCCCAAGCAGTGAGGGGGGTAGTAGGTCGTGACTCAAGTGTTGTGCAGCCACGTGATAGAGATAGTTGATGAAGCCAGGATATGATATTGGAGTGGTACTGGGTTGTAGCAGCTTAGAGAGTTGTATGGTGATATTGTATGTTATATATATCTTTTATTATGTATGTTTTTATATATTAAATGTTTGTTAACAGCTGGTCTTTGCTCTTATCCTGGTGAGGTTTCCCAGAGAGCGAGAGTGAGAGAGAGAGGGAACCGGCTGAGGAAAGGGTGACAGTACACTCTAATTCACGAAAAGGGGATTTAGGATATCATTCCAAAGAAGGAGAGAGTTTGGAGTCACAGTGGCTGGAGTAGGGTGAGTACACAACACAACGAGGCTAGTTTTGGAGCCTCACCCCTGAATAAGTGACGATGAACCCCTCTCCAACATCAAGAGGCGTACAGGGTGATCCAAGGTCAATTGCAAACACTCCAGTGTCCATTACTGGTCGACCGACGCTAGCGGGAGTGTGGTCGACCGACGCTAGCGGGAGTGTGGCTGCTGAGATCAGCGGTTGTTCTGTCAGGGACGCAAGTAGCAGTATGGTGCAACAACCAGAGCATCCTTTAGGGTTTAAACCCCCAATCCCCTCCCGATACGATAATGTGAGAGTGACCTACCACCGTCAGCAGTAATGTGTGAGTGACCTACCACCATCAGCAGTAATGTGAGAGTGACCTACCAGCATCAGCAGTAATGTGAGAGTGACCTACCACCATCAGCAGTAATGTGAGAGTGACCTACCTGCATCAACAGTAATGTGAGAGTGACCTACCAGCGTGAACAGTAATGTTATAGTGACCTACCACCATCAGCAGTAATGTGAGAGTGACCTACCAGCGTCAACAGTAATGTGATAGTGACCTACCACCATCAGCAGTAATGTGAAAGTGACCTACAAGCACCATCAATAATGTGACAGTGACCAACCAACTCCAGCAGTAATGTGAAAGTGATTAACTAGCGTCAGCAATAATATGAGAGTGACATTCCAGTTTCACATCTATTTAACAATAACCTATCAGTTTCAGCAATAATGTGATAGTGACCTACCCGCTGAGCCTCACCGACCACCATGGAGAGCTGCATGCGCCTGACGTCCTCACCATCCGTTGACACCTCGAAGACTGATACACACGAAAATGTCCACAAATTTCTGTGCTGGAGACGCAGGATACTGTTCTGTTAAGAAAAGTACCGCACCTCATTGTTCGAAAATTATCTGTGAAGAATCTAATTTTTATAACTTCCCATAATCATGCTTTTGAAAAAAAATATATTTCCATAAAGTTGCTAATATATTGTAGGTCCTTAGTTCCATTTTGAACTATTATCTATTCTCACATCAAAATATTTTTCATAAGTTCACCGAAATGTCGTCTAGTTATAGTTTATTTATGGGATTATTGTGCAATTTTCTAATCCAAGATATTTTATCATTTATACTCTTATTATTAGTGTGTAACAGATTTATGTAAATATTCCTTGCTCATGGGCAGTAAGTGTTATTTCCTAATGGTTTATGCCCAATTGCGTATTTCCAAAGTAGAGAAAACGGAAATTATTTCCTACAAACTCTGCTTTTGTGACCTGAACAGTGTATGTCTCTGCAATAACAAAACTTCTTTTTTGTCTAAAGATATTCCTGCACGGGTCATAAGCCTCCGGCTGGCCCAATAAATATTACTCGTTTCTGTCTTACTTAGGCGGTGTATGAATATTCATGACTCGTATGTTTGCTTCAGTAAGCTTATGCCCTGTGTGTTTAACAACTTCTTCTGCTCTGCTAAATCTTTCTTGAAAACTTATTTGGTTTGTAACTCAGCAGTGTTTGATAATGCTCCAGTGGTTTGTCGGGCATTTCTCCATAGTATTGACATATCCTCATATCCTCTCATCTTCAGAAATCTATGAGCATATTTTCCCTGCAACATGGTTATCTAAGACTGACGCCATGTAAGTGAACTTTTCTATTGCTTCCTTTCTTCAAAATATGTGGTTCGTAGTTGGTTGTATTCTTGTACCAACCCACAGATCCTGATGCTGCAACTGCTGTGTTGTGGTCTTTGTACATCTTCTGCATTCCTGTCTATAATTATTTGCTTCACCTATCTATATAAATAAAAATGGAAATTTTCGTTTGTTCAAAATAGCTAATCGCCGAAAGTTCTTCACCGATTGTTTTGAAATTTTCAAACAATGTTCCACACGCCTCAGAGCGAATTTTTATATACATATTATATTGATATCACGTATGTGATGGAAAAAAACGTGCCTTTTTTGAAAACTGTGTTTTTCATGTGAGGGAAAACTTCGAAACCTCTTTACCGATTGCTTTGAAATTTTGGCACAACGTTGCATTGGAATAGGCGAGTGTTTTTATACACCTACTATATACATGCCTCACCTGTGACGGGAAAAAAACATTTTTTTTTTAAACAGCGCCATCTGTACGATGCAGGAGCAACACATGCTTTAATCTCCTAAAGTTCTTCACCGATTGCTTTGAAATTTTGACCCAACGTTCCATTCGAGTACGTGCATGTTTTTATATACCTACAATGTAGATGCCACACCTGTGACAGGTGAATCCATGCTTTGTTTCTAAACAGCGCCATCTGTTGCACGTAAGACCAACACAAGCTATACAAAACATATTACGATTCTATTTCAATTTTTCCAATTGCATTGATAAATTGAATTTTCATAGATTTTGATTTATTTTCATTTTGATTTAATTGTTTTGTGTGACATTGCATTGGAATTGAGCAATTCTGTGTTGTTTTCCATACCGTTCATTTCGTGAGTATAGTTTATTTGTTTCTTTTTTCAGTTTTTATTTCGTTTTTTTTTTTAACTGTTCTTCTTATTTTTCAGTGCAATTGGTGGTGAAATTGAGCTGTGTCGATTGATCTGCGTTTGAATTGAAATATTTCGTTAGTATTTTTTATTTTTGTTTTAAAAACATGAAATTGGACAACACGTTTATTTCACAGCTGCAAATGTGCAACAAACAGCTATGAATCCACCGACTACAGCGTTAACTGCTTTCTTCACGTTATGTCAGAATGACGTGTTTGCCAAAACACTGCTGTATTATGAAGTGCCTACGTATTACACATGGAATATGAGTAGAAAATCATTTGAACGACGCAAACGAGGAGAGCGAGTCGACGGACAACCTGGCATAAACTACGATAGTAGACTGCACCTTGCATCCCAATCAGGATGAATGCTTCTTTCTTCGTATGCTGTTGGTAAATGTGTCCGGTCCAACGTCTTTCCAGCAATTGAGATTTGTCAACGGCGTAACACATGCCACTTCCCGTAGTGCATGTCAAGCTCTGAATTTATTGGAGAACGACCGACACTGGGATGTATGCATTAATGACGCGTCCAACACGTCACATCCAAATCAAATTCGTGCATTGTTTGCAATCATATTGACCACCGGCTCTCCTTCATCTCCAACAGAGTTATGGGAGAAATATAAATCGCATATGGCTGAAGATATTATCCGTCGAATACGCAAGGAAAATTCAAATATGACCATGGATTTTACAGCAAAAATCTACAACGAAGCGTTGATAATGATTGAAGACTTGTGCTTAGAAATCGCGAACAAAGTTCTCAATCAATTGGAAATGCCATCACCGAATCGATCTGCTGCTGCTTCGTTCAATGTAGAATTGCGTCGTGAACTAAATTTTAACACGGGTGATCTGTTGTCGTATGTTTAATCAAATATTTCTAAACTAACGCTTGAGCGAAAAAGCATTTTCAATAATATAATTCAAACTGTCAATAACGGGCTTGGAAAAATCTTCTTAGTTGCACCAGGAGGAACTGGTAAAACCTTCAGAATTAGATTGATTCTGCCAGCATTTCGATCTCAAAATGGCATAACCTTAGCTCTTGCATCGTCCGGAATAGCTGCGACATTGCTACCAGGTGGATGAACTGCTACTTCGGCTTTGAAATCGCCATTGAACATGCAATTCATTGAAACTCCCACGTGCAACATTTCCAAAGCATCCGGCCTGGGAAAAGTATTGCAGAAATGCAAACTTATTGTTTGGTATGAATGCACAATGCCCCACAAAAAATCGCTCGAGGCTCTTGATCGATCATTGCAAGATTTGCGTGGAAACATCAGACCATTTGGGAACGTGTTAATATTGCTTGCAGGAGATTTCAGGCAAACATTACCTGTAATTCCTCGAGCGACACCAGCGGACGAAATAAATGCCTGCCTGAAATACTCTACTTTGTGGCGCCACGTAAAGGCATTTAAATTACCCACAAATATACGTGTAGTTATGTAGCTACTGTAAAACGATCCATCAGCTGAGATATTCTCACATCAACTTCTGGAAATTAGGAACATAAACGTGTCGGTTGATCTGACCTCAGGACGAATTTCATTGCCTCATAACTTCTGCAATTTAGTGACGTCAAAAGAAGAATTGGATGAAAAAGTATTTCCCAATATTCAAACCAATTATAAGAATCACGATTGGCTGAGTGAACGAGCTATTCTTGTGGCCAAGAACAAAACGTCTACGACCTTAACAATATTATTCAGTCTAACATTCAAAGCGAGGCAGTCACATACAAGTCCGTCGACACTGTTGAGGAAGCAGATGAAGCGGTTAATTATCCAACAAAATTTTTTAATTCACTCGATCTGCCAGGGATACCATCACACGTACGGCAATTGAAAATCGGCTTGCCAATTATCATGTTGCGAAATATCAACCAGCCAAAACTTTGCAACGCCACGCGCCTTGCAGTAAAAAAATTAATCAGCGACGTCGTAGAAGCAACAATCTTGACAGGACCTTTCAAAGGTGAAGATGTCCTCATTCCTCGCATTCCTATGATTCTAACAGATATGCCATTTCAATTTAAGAGATTGTAATTTCCAATTCGATTGGCGTTTGCAATCACCATCAACAAAGCTCAGGGCCAATCTTTAGAATTGTGCAGTTTATATCTAGACACGGATTGCTTCTCACATGGACAATTATATGTTGCGTGTTCTAGAGTCAGCAAACCAGACAATCTCTATATCTCCACAGACAATGGAACAACAAAAAATATTGTATACCCACAAGCATTGTGAAATTAAACATATTAGAAACGTGCGCTTTCTCTTTTCTTTCTTTTCCATTTAACCAGACTGAGCCACAGCAACGCGTGGCGGGTACTGCTAGTATATAAATAAAAATGGAAATGTTCGTTTGTTCAAAATCGCTAATCTCCGAAAGTTCTTCACCGATTGCTTTGAAATTTTCACACAATGTTCCATTCGCATCCGAGCAGGTTTTTATATACATACTATATAGATGTCACGTCTGTGACGGTAAAAAAAAAACATGCTTTTTCTGAAAAACTGTTTTTTTCATGTGTTTTTCATGTGAGGGAAATCTTCGAAACCTCTTTACCGATTGCTTTGAAATTTTGACACAACGTTGCATTCGAATAGGCGCGTCTTTTTATATATCTACTATATACATGCCTCACCTGTGACAGGAAAAGACATTATTTTTTTTAAACAGCGCATCTGTTGGACGTAAGAGCAACACACACTGTAATCTTCGAAAGTTCTTCAGCGATTGCTTTGAAATTTTGACACAACCTTGCATTTGAATAGGCGCGTCTTTTTATATACCTACTGTATAAACAGTAGGTACATAAAAGCAGGTGGCAGGTATATTACCTGCCACCCCTATGACAGGTAAAAACATGCGTTTTTGAAAAACAGCGCCATCTGTTGCACATAATAGCAACATGCACGCTATACTAAATATGTCACGAATTCCATTTCGTTGTTGCCGATTACAGTGATAAATTTTATTTTCATAGATTTTGATTTATTTTATTTTCTATTGAATTATTTTGTGTGGCATTGTGTTGGAATTGAGCTGTGTTGTTTACATGCCGTTCATTTTATAAGTATAATTATCGATGTCACACCTGTGACTTGTAAAACTATGCTTTTCTTCAAAAACAGCGCCACCTGTTGCATGTAAAAGCAACACACATGCCATACTAAATATGTTACAATACCATTTCAATGTTCCTGATTGCATTGGTAAATTTAATTTTCATAGATTTTGATTTATTTTCATTTTGATTTAATTATTTTGTGTGAATTGCGTTGGAATTCAGCTGTATTG